CAATCCCTTCTCCTCCATTCTCCTCTCGGGATCTTGGGCACGCACGCACACGCACCCGGCGTGAGTTTTAAGCCACTGGGTCCGGGACACGAACCGCGGTCGACTATGTGGGAGTCCAGAGACATAGCCATTACGCTAACTGCTGGTTCCCAAGATTTTTTTTTTTTTTTGTATCTAATGAATTTTCTTTCTGATCTCTTTCTTGATCCCATTGAGCATATTACTCATTCCTTCCTATACTGTCTCTAGTATCCACAGTTTCTCTCCCTGCTGTTATACCATCCAATCTTTCTGTTACTGCCATAGAGTGCAAATATTTGGTATATTTAACGTTGAGGCATACAATGTATTTCATAGTCTGGCTTGCTTCACTTAGCATTAACTCTTCCATATTTTCCAACTTTCTATCAAATGCCACAGTCTCATTGCTTTTTATGGCTGAGTAGTAGCCATCGTTTATATGTGTCACAACTTTTCAATTCATTCATTATTGGACCTTCACATTGATTCCATTCTTAGTAATTGCAAATAATGCTGCAGAAAACATGAATGTGTAAGTCTTCCTTTGGTTGTTTCTCCATCTTTTGTCCCAAGAGTGAAATTGCTGGGTTGTATGGTAGTTATATTTGTAAGTTTTTGGGAAATTCACATATTTCTGTCTTCTTTATACATAAAGTACTCTCTTCTAATATCGAGTTTGTTCAGGTGACAGCATCATCATTCTGCTAAAAGGTGGCTTCGTCCACTCACAATGCCCGTAAGAACTTTTGACTGTTTTTAAACAATTCGCTCAAGCAGAGGACAAGATCCATTTCATTATTTTCCAGAGCCCTGCAAAAATTTTCAAACAGCTTCAAATACCAATACACAGGACTAGCAGATGGCATAATGGCTACATCAATGGGCTCCCTTATAGTCAACCATGGTTTAAGTCCTGAACTCAGCAGCTTAAAACTCATGCCAAGCATATGTGTGTCCATATCAAAAATCCCAAGAGGAAAATGAGGAGAAGTGATTGTGACATGGTCATCTCCCTTGGGCAGTGATATCTTGCTTTCTGTCTCTCTCTTTTTTTCTCTCCAGCAAGCACACATGCCCTATATCAAAAATCTCTCTCTTTCTCTCTCTAAAAAATAAACAAATAAATAAGTCAGTGCAGGAGAAACTCTGAATAGCAGCCTAAATATAACCCTTTGTTTCTCTTGCCTTGACTGAGGAGTTTACTCTGAATAATGACTTGACTATATTTCCCAATGATTTCTTCTCTCTTTAGGTGGCATTGGCAGAACTATCAGTATGTATTGGCCTTTCTTTTTGCCATTGAGGAGATAAACAAGAGTCTCTATTTGCCCCACAACCTTTCCTTGGGTTATGATCTCTACAATACCATTTCCAGTGACCAAAGGACCTTTGAGAGTGCTCTGTATTTGCTCTCTGGAAGGAATAAAAACCTGCCTAACTTCTACTGTCAGATTCAGAAACAACCTGTTGCTGTCATTGCAGGAGAGCTGCCGACATTCTCAGTCCAAATTGGAACCCTTTTGGAGCTCTACAAAATTCCACAAGTAAGTGGGTTGTTAATTATGTAGAATAATATTTGGATCCCTCCTAATGCATTTATCTTACATCCAACAACACAATGTAACAGCTGGCTTTACATGCCCCTTAAAGTGACAAACAGATCTCAGGGAATTCCATACAGCATAAAATTATTCACAAGGCAAGTATGGGGAAGAAAGAATAAGAGCAAAGCAATATGTGAAGCTCCACCCAAATTTCTGTCATGATCTATGCATCCAACCCCCACTGCTGGGTATATTGACTTCTGATAACTCAAAGATGTATGGTTGACACATTGCAGAGAATGCACTTGCTGTACAGCATGCTGCTTGCAGCTGGAAGAACCATAGATCATGCCCTCCCACACTTGTCTTTGAACTAAAAAATGGAAAGAACTTTTTATTTTTTAAATTTTTTTTCTTTTCTTTTTTCTTCTTCTTTTTTTTTTTTTTTTTGGGAGGGTTTTTGCTATAGGGCGTGTGTGCTCGCCAGAAAGACAGAGATAGACATAGAGACAGGAAGAGAGGAATCACCCCCCATGGGGGATGGTCACACCACAATCCCTTCTCCTCCTTTCTCCTCTCGGGATCTTGGGCATGCACGCACACGCGCCTGGCGTGAGTTTATGCCACTGGGGCCGGGACTCGAACCGCGGTCGACTATGTGGGAGTCCAGCAACATAGCCATTACGCTAACTGTTGGTCCCCAAAAATGGAAAGAACTTTGAGTCATCCAAGATCATGGACATCAGTGAAGCTTACTGGTGAGAATCAGGGAGGCAGAGCTGCAGGGAGATCACCAATCACCTACTCCCACATGCTCTGACACTCAGAATTAAGTCAAAGTATTTAGAAAGGAATATATAAATCGCCAAATGACTAGAAACCATTGTGGAGGCACAAGAAATATGAGCAACCAACAAAATATCTTCTCCCCAAAGGAAAACATCAATTCCACATCATCCACATACAACACAATGGGACTTGTGGAAATGTCAGATAAACAATTCAGAATATTTATTGTGACTAAACTAAATAAGTTACAAGAGAAAAGAGGCAATGAGATCCAGTAGATGAGAAACTCCTTTCACAATTTGAAAGAAGAAACAGACACCAAAAAAATTTAAAAAGAGGAAGAAGAAAAAGAATCAAAATAAATTGTTAGAGGTGAAGATAGTGATACAGGAAATAAAGACCTCCCTCGAAAATATTAAAAGCAGATTAGATCATGCAGAAGATGTAATCCTGAGTATAGAAGACTACACCTCTAACCTAAAATAATTATCAAGAAGACTGAGAAAATTAACAAGAAAAAGGTGGACAATATATGAGAAATAGTAAATGCCATAAAGTGCCCAAATATTGAGACAATTGTTATCCAAGAAAGTAAAGAAAATAATAAGGGCATTGATAATCTATTTTATAAAATCCTTGAAGAAAACTTTCCAAATCTAGAGAGGCATTTAAAAATCTAGACCCAAGAAATACAAAGGACCCCATGTAAAATCAACCCAAGATCTTCTCCAAGACACAGTATAACCAGATTGAACAAAACCATAGACAAAGGCAAGACTAAAATTGGCAACAGATAAATCAAGTCAAGTTACTTACAAATGTTATCCCATCAGGTTAACATGGGAACTCTCATCGGAAACAATACAGGCAAGGAAAGAATGGGGAACTATAGTCAACGTGTTAAATAAAAAGCTATTTTAATCAAGATTACTATACTTGGTGAGATTATATAAGAAAAAAAGATAAACATATTCTCGGATAAACAAAAACGAAAAGAATTTACCAGCTCCAGATCGACTCTTGAAAAAGTTCTGAAGGGAGTGCTATACCAGGAAAACTAACATCAGACAGACAGATATAAAGGAACAAAAAAAAAAACCAACCAAAAAAATGACTCACTTAATAATAGGAACATGTCCAGATATATCAATAATAACATTGAATATTGATGCATTAAACACACTAATCAAGAGACACAGCCTGGCTGAATGGATAAAAACAAAACAAAACAAAAAATAGAAACCCTCTATCTATTGCCTATAAGAAATGTACCTTATGGATAAAGACAGACATAGACTAAAAGTGAAGGGCTAGAAAAAATTATTCCATGTAAATGGAAATAAAAAAAGTGCTGGTGTCATGATACTGATTTCAGATAAAACAGGTTTTAAGACAAAAACTGCAAGAAGAGACAAAAAAAGGCATTATATAGTAGTTTATGGCATAATTCATGAAGAAGACATAACACTTATAAATATCTAAGCACTCAACTCAGGAGCACTTAAATGCATAAAGGAAAGACCGCTAAAGCTAAAATGAGAGCTAGGTTACAACACTATAATTGTTGGGGATCTCAAGACCCCATTATCTTATTAAGACAGATCTTCTAGACAAAATAATAGGAAAAGAGATACAGGATGTAAATTATATTATAAATCAAATGGACTTGACAGGCACCTATAGAGCTGTCCAGCCTAAGACCAAAAATATACATTATTCTCACCCTAGCAAGGAATCTTTTCAAAGACAGACCATTTGATACTACACAAATCAAGTCTTTATCAATTCAAATGCATAGAAAATATAGGTAGCATTTTCTCTGATCATGATGGAACTAAACTGGACATTAATTTTAGGAAAACTCTTCAAAAATACACAAACACATAGAAACCAAACAACCTACTTCTGAATGACTTCTCAACTGCTGAAGTAATTAAGTCTAAATCAAAACATGTAAAGAAACAAATGATAATGAGTACAAAAGTTTCCATAACCTATGGGACACTGCAAAAGTCATCATAAGAAGGAAATTCATAGCAATCAGTGTGCATAATAAAAAGATGGAAAGGTGGTAAAAAGACAATCTAACATCATGCCTCAGGGAATTAGAAAAACAATAACAACAACAACAAAAATATGCTAGGAAACAAAGAAGTAAAGACTGGAATATAAATTCTTAAAATAGACAATAAATGAAAGATACAGAAAATAAATAAAAACAAAAGCTGACTCTTTGAAAAGATTAATGAGATAAATTAAATACATAGTGAAACAGGAAATATTACAACAGACTCAGTAGAACTATAAAACATCATTACAGGATACTATGAGCAACTATATGCCAACAAACAAGAGAACATAGAGGAGATGGACAAATTCCTGTATGCATATAATCTACCAAGATTGAATCAGGA